ATACGAGGTCTGTTCAAAAAGTACCAGGATTTTATTTTTAATAATTACAAAAATGAAGTTACATATTATTTAAAGACATCGCCTTCAAAATACTCTCCTCCAGACGATATGCAGTGGTTCCAGCGATCTTGCCATTTTTTCGAAAGTCCTTTGGAACTGTTCTAAAGTTATAGCTTTGAGTTCTGTTGCCGTATTCGCTTTAATTTCCTCTACATCTTGAAATCGTTGTCCTTTAAGCGCAGATTTTAATCTCGGAAGAAAAAAATCGCATGGGGCTAGATCAGGAGAATAGGCAGGGTGCGGTACCACAGGTATTTTTTTTTCAGCCAAAAATTCACGAATTGACAACGCTGAATGTGCTGGCGCATTGTCGTGATGAAGAAACCAGGTTCCACTTCGCCATTTTTCTGGGCGCTTTTTGCGGATTCTCTCTCGCAAACGTATTAATACATCTTTATAGAATACCTGATTGACTGTTTGTCCATGGGGCACAAATTCATAATAAACAATACCTTCAATATCAAAAAAAACAATCAGCATTGTCTTGACATTCGATCTCACTTGGCGAGTTTTTTTGGTCGAGGGGAAAATTTTGTTTTCCACTGAGATGACTGTAACTTTGTTTCTGGATCGTACCCATAAATCCATGTCTCATCCCCTGTGATGATGTTTTTAATGAAATTAATATCAGCAGATCGATTTTTAAGGTCTTTACAAATCGTTAAACGATTTTCCTTTTGTTCTGATGTCAACAACCGCGGAACGAATTTAGCAGCTACCCTTCTCATTTGTAAATTTTCTGTTAAAATTTCATGACAAGATCCAATTGAGATTCCTGCCTCATTTGCTAACTCACGAACAGTTAATCTGCGGTCATTTCGCACTTTTTCGTAAATGTTCGCCACAACATCATCGTTTCTGGATGTCGACGGTCTTCCAGAACGTGGATCATCTTCAGTTGACTGTCGACCATCCTTGAAACGTTTAAACCACTCGAAAATAACGGAGCGACTTAAAGAATCGTCCCAAAAAGCAGTTTTAATCATTGTGTACGTTTCAGTTGCATTTTTACCAAGTTTCAAGCGAAACTTGATGCACACACGTTGTTCGTTAATTTCGGACATGACGAAAACGGAGATCGAAACAAACTGACTAGATTTAACCACGTATAATATTAAACTGAGATAAGATAGCGACTTCGGGTTTTGTTCAAAATATTATCTAATACGTTGGGAATATATCTATTTATAATTTAAAACGTTATCATGTATAGATTAACCGCAATAACATTTGTCCTGGTACTTTTTGAACAGACCTCGTATATTGGAAAATATAAATAGTAAACTCAAAAAAGTATAAAATGTTATATAATTTATACTGTTATGCGCGTGGGTAAATTATATACTATTATTTATATTATTATCATAATTCATAATATATGCAGTTGCATTCATGCATTCAACGTACCAAGTTGACATCCGTATCGATATTCACTCTCTTATCTACTGTTTAACTAAGTGTACTGTTCATTATGTTGTGCTCGGTTTGTAAAGAAGACATTTTTCAAGGCGATGATATAAAATGTTCAAAATGCAATTTACATTTTTCATGTGGTGGAATGAGAGAAACTAACCTCAGAAAATTAGCCAAAGCAAATAATGAGAAATGGTGCTGTGCAAAATACAAGTCGATGATCATTAATACGAGTATTACGCAAGAAGAAAATTCTTTTGTGGGCTCTAATGAAACTTTAGCAAATTTAACTGAGTCAGTTAAATTTATGAGCAATCAATTTGATAACTTTGGTAAACAATTATCGGAGGTTCTAAATTCTATCAAAGAATTAAAAGAAGAAAATAAAAGTCTAAAAGAAACTAATTGTAAATTAAAGGTTGATATTGGCAGTCTGACTAAAAAAGTTAATGTTTTAGAACAAAATGCAATCATAAGCAATGTGGAGATAATCAGAATGCCTGTACCAAAAAAATGAAAATTGTGTGGAAGTTGTCGAAAATATTGCTACTAAACTGGGCGTTAAGCTATCAGTATTAAATGCTTTCCGGATGTATTCGAAATTTAGTGATAGACCGAAAAAAATTATTGCAAAGCTAAATTCACCAGAAAATAAACAACAATTAATGGATTTTGCCATGAAAAGAAAACTAAACACTAAACACCTGAATGAAAACTGGGAGAGCGGTAATATTTTCATTAATAATGAGCTGATAGCGTTCAATAGAGATTTATTTTATAAGACTAGAATGTTTGCAAAATCTAATAATTTCAAATTTGTATGGTATAAAGATCTGAAAATATTTTTAAAAAAAGATGAAAACTCTAAAGCCTATATAGTCCAGGACGACTTAGATCTATCCAAACTATTATAATTTTAAATTTTAACAATAATTGTCTATTTTTTTTCTTTAATCCATGAATAACATTAATGTATTAAATAATTAAATAGATTATAAAACCAATTATTTCGAATCATTTACGTAATTCATAGATAGGTATGAGTTTATTAATAATAAGTTTATAAGTGTTTTTTGTTGTAACATGCACATTTTGATGAATTTGTTCTGTATATAAATAGTGAAAAAAACCTTTCATCTTTAGATGTTATAATATTTACCGAAACCTGGCATACAGTAGATAATTGTAATTATAAGATTCCTGGTTACAATTTGCACTTTTCAACATTTAAAAGAAATCAAAATGATGGTATAGCTGTATTTATAAAGGAAAATTTAAGAGTAGAAATGTATCAATATAGATATTTAATGGCAAACTTTTTAAAACTAAAATTAACAGTTAATGATACTCAATTTAATATATTGTGTGTATACAGATCTCCGTCTTGTGACATAGCAGAGTTTTTAATCTCAATTAATAGCATTTTAAAAGCTGATTGTAAGTTAAATGGATATTATATGATAATTGGTGACCTGAATATTAATATTTTAGGTAACATAATAATGATTATGTAGTAACCGAGGTCACTACTAAATATCTTAAAACTACTTTGTAATCTTTTCCTTAACCTATTTGCCTTGGGCGTTATCAAAAACAACTATCTATTAAAATACTTTCATATTTGGAAACGGGTACATTAGATAGTAAGAATATTAATATTATATTTGTTATATTAACTAACAAGTTAAACGGGGATAGTTGTTTTCGTATAAGTTTTTAAAAGATAAATATTATTTTTGTTGGTAAAGAACAATGAAAAGCCTTGAGTCTTTTCCTTGTTCTAAACTACTTTTACGCACTACGCCCAACTATCTGCGTATAAATAGGGACGTAGTGTCAATGTTTAATTAGATACAATATAACCATACTTAAGAGTAGACCGATACGGTTAAACTTACAACTGTTAACTTATCGGGCTAACTTTATGTTGAGTCTCAGTATTATAATAAATTCACATGTATAACTTAAACAGTGTTTTTTTATTTTACTTCAACGGACGTGTAATTAACTGCAACAAGAGGTGACTTCGTCATAAAACATATTGAGTCAGTTCTGATCAGATCGGCTCACTACAATTATCTCGATATTTTTTCGGCACACGGATTTAGTTCTTTTATCAATGTATGTACTGGGACTCCTCTGAGATTGTTCGCATTCATGTTTGGACCATATATTTATAAAATGTAATAATTATGTAGATAATAGAGTTGAGGCAGGTGTTATACAAACAAATATTTCTAATCATTATTCCACAGTAATTGCTTTAGAATTTAATAACATTTCATTATCACTTGGTAATAATGTTTACAAAACAATTGATTATAATAAATTAAATGAATTGTTAAAATTAGAAAACTGGTCAGAGTTAGCTAACACTAATGTTAATGATTGTTATATTTTTTTTGAAAAGATTGTTCGTGCGATAAATTCGGTGACAACATTTAAAGAATCTAATGTGAAAAATAATCATATAAAGGAATGGATGACGCCTGGTCTATTACGCTCTTTACGTAGAAAAAATGCATTATCTTTAAAAGTAAAAAAACACCCTAACAATGATAATTTGCGATCATATTATATAAAATACAGAAATATTTTCACTAGAGTTTTAAGAACTTCCAAAAATAATTTTTATAAAAAAAAAATTACTGATGTATCATATAGTCCAAAATTATAATGGAAATTAATAAAAGAGTTCACATTGTCTAAAATTAATAAAGGTGATGCAATTAAAACTTTAATCCATAACAATGAACTTATATAATTCCTTCGGAAAATCCGGTGAGAGTTTCAAATCTGTTTAATGAATTTTTTTATTAATATTGGTAGTATGGTATACTATACTACTCTATATCTACTACTCATATTGCATGTAAAATAAAAAAATCGGATTTTATTTATTATGAACCAAACACAAAAGCCTCATTTGACATGATTTTTAAAGAGAAAATTAACAATCAGGAAATTATAAAAATAATAAATAATTGGAAGGATGATACTGCTGCAGGTTTTGATGGAGTATCTGTGAAAACGTTAAAGGCTATTGCTACAAATATTATTGAACCTATTACATATATTTATAATCTAAGTATTTCTGAATGTATATTTCCTGACAAACTTAAACTTGCAATTATCAAACCATTATATTAAAATGGTGACTCAAAAATTATGAATAACTATAGACCAATATCAATGATAAGCAATTTCGCAAAAATATTAGAGAAAATTATAAAATATAGATTAGTAGAGTTTTTGGAAAATAATAATTTACTGTCGAAAAACCAGTTTGGTTTTAGACCCGGGTTGGGCACAAAAAATGCACTGTACAGTGCTAGCAAATTCATATATAATGCGTTTGACAATAACAATAAAGCAATGGCAATATTTTTAGATCTAGCTAAAGCCTTTGATACGGTCAATCATAATGAACTTTGTAACATTTTACCAAGTTTTGGTTTAAATAATTGTAGTTTAAAATGGTTTATAAGTTACTTGGATAACAGAAAAGAAATTGTGCAAATTATGAACTCCTCAGGTGAAGAATTGAGTATTAAATGTGGAGTACCACTAGGTAGAAGTGTACTGGGCCCGTTATTATTCATATTATATATTAATTCAATATGTGATTTAAAAATTGATGGACAAATCACAAACTATGCTGATGAAACATGTCTCTTGTTTTCCGGTGTGTCGTGGAAAGATGTTCGTTTAAAAGCTACTAAAGAATTTAAAAAAGTGATTAACTATCTAAATCATAGGAAACTATCAATAAATTATAAAACAACTAATTTTATAAATTTTTCAATAAACAAAGAAGAAAACAATCATGATGATTTAAAACTCTGTTTTTGGGGGAATAGAGATAACTGTAATGACAACATGTGTCATAAAATATACATGGTTTCTAGTAGAAGATATTTGGGCTTAACTTTTGATAAAAATATGAGATGGAATTTGCATGTAAAGACTATTGTTATGCGCATGCGTACATTATCGTTTAGCTTTTTTAAATTAAGGAATTTCCTACTTGTGAACGTGATGCATATAATTTATTTATCATTATTCCAGGCAATATTTCAGTATGGTTTGTTGGTATGGGGAGGTTTGAATGAAAACGCGGTTATACCACTAATTTTATTTCAAAGAAAAATTATCAGAATTTGTTTAGGTAGAAATAATTTAATAGGTTCAACTGGTGAAAATTTTAAGCTGTTGAATGTGTTACCAGTCGAGAGTGTCTATAAAAAAGTATCTACTATGTACATAATAAAAAATTATGAACATTTTTTTGTTGTGGAAAATATAAGAAAAAAAAGTGAATTAATGGCCTTTGATGTCAAAGTATTTTATTGTAAAAAATATTTTGGTCAAAATTTTGTTGATTATTTGGGCCCTAATTATTATAATGCAATACTTTTACATATAAAAAAACTCATCTACTACTCAATTGAGAATCTTAGTATTACGTGCATTAAAAAACAACTTAACTCGTGGTTATTTTCACTGATAGTTCTATAAAAATAAATTAATACATTTTCAATTTTATATAATTATGTATGGAATAAGATATGAAACATTGAAAGTTAATTATGAAATTTATTATGTTACTCTATCTTTTTATTTAAGTAATTCGAATTAGGTTTATTTGTATGTAATTTTGTTTATTATTATGTAATGTAACTCTCTACCACCAACACAAGCATTGCTTAAAGGAGGTTGATACTTTATTGTAAACATTTAATAATATGTCAAACATCTTATTTATATTTTACAATAAAAAATTTTAATAATAAAAAAAAAAAATAATACATTTTAGTGTAGAGGAGAGTACCTTAATATGGGATAATTTTAGTAAACTGTTAATTTTAGGTATATAAATTAACTCTTTTTCAGCATTTTTAATGTTAATACACCTATATCTATGCATACTTACTAGTACTTAGGACTTTTTTGGTTTAGTGAAGTAAATTTATAATCTATTTTGAAATAATATTAAAACATAGTAAATTCATTATTTCAAATTAAAGTCCTAATAAGGGATAGTAGGTGACCCTAATATTGGATGGTCAATATTATACAAACAAAATACAATTTTAAGTACCAACTTGGTAAAATACTATATTCATTTAAAACAGGTTATATAGTAATTAAGTACATAATTAGTGTATCTCACAAAATAATAATTAGTACTTTAAAGTAATAATCCAACAACAAAATAACCAACAGTATGTTAATTATAAATTAATATAATACAATCCAACCTTATGGTTATTAAATATTTAAATGAACTCAATAAAATAAAAATAATTAGTAACTTTAATAGTTAAAAAAGAAAAACTCAATATTATTTAGGTACTTATTGATAAATCATATCAAATTTTAAAGAATTTTACTAATAAATAAATTAATTATAACTAAATAACCAACAGTACCTTAGATAATGATTATAAATCATAAGATACAAACCAGACTTATGGTTTTTAAATATTTTTATAAAACAAAATAAATAGTAACTTTGGTACCTAGTTAAGTAAGTCAAATTAATATTATGTCCTTATTGATAAATCATAACAAAATTTTAAAAACATTTCAAACTTTAACATTTTTTTTTAAGTAGGTAGGTACAGTTCTAATAACTAGTCAGTCAAATTTCAAAACACTTATCACATGTATAAGACTTCCATTTACCTTTTTCAATGTCATCACATAATTCTTGAGCCCAACACAAACACTTAATGCACCTTATCCATTTTTCATTTTTCAAATCAGTCTTATAAGGTTGATGGCAGTACAAGCACTCTTTGCACTATCTTCGTCATCTGTAGATACTAATTTGGGTTCTTCATCTAAATCACTTTCTGATGATGAAACAGGGAGTTTTGATGACTTGGATTTTTTTTTTGTTTTTGTTTGAAATAAGTTTCTCTTTGATGACTTTGCTACTGATTTAGATTTTGATGAATATGTATTATTATGAGTTATCCCTGAAGAAGTTGATGGCTGACACAGTTCAGATTGTTTACTCTTTTCTAAATCTTGTTTGAACGGAGATGATGTCACAACTGCACACTTACCCACAGTTTTTCTTTTATTGCTTGAAATAGTTAAGCTAGGCGGTGGACTTATTTCAAATGGACCTATAATTTCACTTGTTTCTGTATTGGTACAAACGGGTGAAATAGGTGAGGCTACTAATGTAGATTCTTGTTGTGGAATGTTTTCTTTATTGTTTATAGTGGTTTCTGCCACAAATTCATAGTCTTGGAATGTGTTTGGGTTAAATTGAATGATTCTAGTTTTTTTAAATCCATTAACAGCGTTTTCAATAGTAGAAGCTTTCATGTAAGCTCTTCCCATTAGTTCTCCAACTTGATAAGCAGTTACAGACTTATATTCATTATTTTTTAACCAATTTTCAAGTTTTAATGAATAATAATGTTTAAATGGGCCCATAAATGATACATCCAACGGTTGGAGTTTATGAGTTGAATGGGGGGGGGAGGGGGCGAACATATAATAATGATTCCATGTTTCCTTCCCAACTCAATTACATCTAAATTTCGAGTGTGTGAATAGTGTCCGCCAAGTATCAAAATTACAGGCTCTGATTTAAATGGTTTAACATGGCTAATAAAATTTTTAACCCATTGTGTAAAAATATCCATTTGGATCCAACTTGATAGGTGACATGCTGATATTGTACCTGGAGGTGTTCCATTTAGAAGTTCAGCTTTCATATTTTTTCTAGGAAATATTATTAGGGGTGGTACATATATTCCAGATGCACTCATACATATCACTAGAGTCATAAATGAACCTCTTTCAGCTGATGTTACTTTAGAAACCTGTTTTTTCCCTTTCATACCAATAATTTTTGTTTGCTTATGTTGATCAATAGTAATCCCTGTTTCATCAACATTAAACACTTTGCAAGGATTAAAATTGACATTTTCTAATTGTATTTCCAATATTGTATAAAATGATTCAACATTTTCTTTTGTAAAACCTTTTATTCTAGCAAGTAATGCGGCTTCTGGTTTGCGAAGTGAAAGTACAGGATGAAGTTTAAGAAAATTATTCAACCATTTTTTACCTCCCATAAAAGTGTTATTTGAAAATGGATGAGTAATGTTATTTTGAATAGCCAACTGATATGCTAAGATTTTGATGTCTGCTGCTCTTAATCCAAAATATTTTTCTTCGATAACTAAACATTATTTAACAAGTTCATTTTCAATGCTCAAAGGTAATGCCGACTTTCTGCCTAGTCTGCTATTTATAATTTCGTCAACATTATTGCTTTTAACATACTTTCTATTGTTGTTCTGGGAACCTATAAATTGAAATAGAGGTGGTTTTGTAACCTTATACAAGCTAATGTACATCAATAGTATAAGCACATAATTTTAATATTATTTCTTACATTAAACGTTTTTGAAGCTTTTAAATAGCCCATTTCTTTATTTTGTACTGCCTCTAGGGGAAACCTGGGTAAGACGAGGACTAGAGGTAAAATAGGACATCGTTGTATCTTGAAAACTATTGATTGTTGTGAAAATTTTTTTTTACAAAAAATGTGGTATGTTGGTCACACTATAATAATATTATTTAATATCAACAAATAATTAAAGTGATACGGTGCACGTGCGTATTCAATATAACGGCAATAGGCGATGTACAATTTTGCAGACATCAAATAGTGATTAAGTAAGTAAATAATTGTTTATTCTTAATTACATCTATATAATTTTTAATGGCAAATATTACTAGTTTTCGATCAATGCAAATTTGGTAGAGTTCATTCTTATTGTAAATTAAATAGAAACGTTTAGTTAAATTATTATTGTTTGAGGTAAGACGGAAAAAATGCAATGGGGCAAGACGAAGACATGTACCATCTTATATCAATTCATTTTTTCATATATTATAATTTAATACATTTAATTTAATTATTCTATTCTATTTATTAATAATGCTCTTGAACAAATGTAAGAAATTTAAATTATTATTTAAACTATTTTATGATATATTATATTAACATAAATAATAGGTATAATATTTAAATTTATTAATATTTTAAATCAAGTTTTACAATTTATTATTTGTGTTTTAAAGAATTTCTAAATAATTTAATTTTAAGAAATGCCTCGTTCAAGAGTCAGAGTTTCCAAACGCCACAATTGAGATTCAGAAAATATGAGGAAGGCTGTGAAAGAAGTAATGGATAAACGCATGACATTTCGTAATGCCTGTATCGAATTTAATGTACCTAAAAGCACTCTAGAAAGAAAGGTTAGATACAATCTTACTATATTATTATTATTATTTTATTTAATATACCTACTTACTTATATGTAAATTGAATGTTATTTAGATTAAACAAAAAAACTTAAATCCTAGTTATGACACTGGGAACAAAGTGGCATTAGGACCGATATATAAAGTGTTTTCAACTGCTGAAGAAACTGAACTGGTATCCTATCTTCAACTTATAGAAGGACGTTTATTTGGACTAACGTCAATAGATTTACGAAAAATTGCATATTAGCTTGAACAATAAGTAATAATTAAAAATAAATAATAATATAAATATATATATAATAATTTAAAATATTAATAATTAAAAATTAATAATTAAAACAATAAGAAAAACAATTTTTTACGAAAAAAAGAAATTGCTGGGTATGATTGGTACAGATGCTTCATGGCGAGACATCCTGAACTATCACTTAGGAAACCAGAAGCCACTTCAATTGCACGAGCTATGGGTTTTAATAAAGTTGTTGTAAGTACGTTTTATGAGCTTCTTGGAGGGTTATTAGATACATATAAGTTTAGTGCTGACCGTATTTTTAATTGTGATGAAACCGGTATCTCTTCTGTGCCTAAATGCAAATCAAAAATTATTGCTTCTAAAGGAAGGAAACAAGTAGGCGCTGTGACTTCAGCAGAGCGTGGTGAAACTATTACGGTTGAGATATGTATGAGTGCAGCAGGTTCTTTTATGCCACCACTTTTTGTTTTTCCTAGACAACGGCATAATTTGGAATTTATGCGAAATGATCCACCTGGATCATTTGCTGAGTTTCATAAATCTGGATGGATGCAGAAAGAAATTTTTGAACGCTGGTTAGAAAAGTTTATAATTTTTACTAATGCTTTTAAAGATAGACCAGTGTTACTCATACTAGATGGATATTCAACACATACTAAAATTGGGTTGTGGGTTATTTAATTTACGTTTGTATATCAGAATAATGAGTTGTACCTTATAAATAGCAAAATAAATATTTAATGTAGTGATATTATTATTATTTAATGTAATATATATTTAACATGGTGTATCTTAATAATAATTATTATATTAAACACAAAAGATTTATCAGATTTTAAACAAAATAAATTAAGAATTTCTATGTTTTTAAAAAATGTAAAGTATTTTTAATGTATCGCTTCTAATATTTGTTCAGATTGCCATGAATTCAGAACTAACACATTGGTGCATATACTGTGGTGCCAGGACGTCATAGTTCAGCACTCAATTTATTCTAAATTAAAAAATATTGTTTTTGATAATGAGTTTATTCCAGTTTGTATTGGTAATACCAACTAATAAGCTAAAAATTATGATTAAGTAATAACATACACAGATTACAGATAAGAGATGATTAATAATTTTAAAAAAATGTACCGGTATTGATTGAATGTTTGTTGATAATATTTCATAAATATAATAAAAACAGTTATTCTTAATCGATTTTAAATTTTGAAAGAAGGAATCACCACCAATCAGTTGATTAAATATTGAAAAATTTAAGATTATTTATTGAAAATTTGTACATCATAAACGCAATTTTCAATATTGTCACCTAAATTTAATAATTTTATTTTGAAATTCAAATACCTTAAGTCAGGTAGGGGCAAAGCATCCCATGGGTAAGTAGCAGTATTTATTATTAATTTTACCAGAAAAAATAGTTGGTTTCAAAAACATTGTGCTTCCAACGATTTTTCTTTTTTGTCGATGCATTTTTTTCAGTATTGCAAGTTGTAACTACCCTAGAAATTAAACAGCTTTATTAAAAAAAAAAAAATGAACATACTAGATAGATAATTACTATGTATGGCTTACGAAAACCACCGTGATGTTGAACGGTTTGGATTTCTAATTTTTGTATATAAATAAGAAAATAATAATACATAACTTCATTATTTTGTCTGCAATATTATTGGTAGCACTTGGAAACCCGAACCATGGTTATGTGCCTATTCATTATCATCATTTTTAAAATTGTGATAAGAAATCTTTTTGGGACTGTAAATTTAGTCTTTCAATAGTTAAGGATTTCTATAATGGGGTAGCGGTTAGTAAATATTGTGTACACAATGTCATGTTCAAAAGTTAGGGCTGTAGTGAGCCCATTGAATAGGCTAACTAGATTATTTAAATTGAATAACACAACGACGATTTGAACCATAATATAATATTTTAATTATTGATTCTGAGATCAATAGACATTATAAACAGTGTATTACAATGTAAAAATTGAAGTATCAATTATGGCCGATATAGCCTCAAACAATTTGTCATTACTCATTAGTGTTTAAAGTAATGCGATCGAATTGAAACGAATTGAATTGAGTTGATTAAGCATATGGGTACGATTGATTCGAAGTAATCACCGTACCATACGTATTGCCTAATACATAGCTATCCCAGGTACTTCTATTATCCCGTAAGCAGAGAGTCAGCAGCGAAACAGTCACCCGTACCGCCGAAGAGCGCAGGAGCCGTCACCACCGAAAATGTGAGCCGTCGCCGTCCGAGTTGAACGTGCCACCATCCGTCCAGTGACCGCCCACAGTACGCGAGTGCCTCATACAACGTTGCTATTCAGACCTATACGCACAGCTACGGTGTACACTACCAAAGTCTCCTCCTATCTTCACTAGTACGAACGCTAATATATTTCAGTACAGGAGTAATAACCAATAATATATATATATATGTTGTGTGCAGATGTAAACTCAACAACAAGTATCATTATTTATGTATTATAAACCTGATTGTAAAACCATAATAGTTTATATTATTAAATTAATTTATATTATATAATTATTTATATTATATATAACAGTATAGTTCTAACGCTTGGTCGATATAGACGTCTAACGCATTTTGCTCCGTTATCGCGTTAATCGTTGACTGTTGTACTGTTTCGGTTGTGTAATCATTAAATTTTAACTGTTTTTAATTTTACCTTTATTTGCTATGGCGCAAGATCTAATTTGTTACGTTTGTAATTCTAAATTTGCGGATTTGGATATACCCGTTAAATGTGATGGGTGTTCTTTATCATCTCATGCTAAATGTTCAAAACTATCAGCAACAGAATTAAAATGCATTTCTTTAAAAAACCGTTGTTTGAAATTCTTTTGCGATGCCTGTGATCAAGGTCTCAAAGAAATACCTGAGCTGAAAACATTATTAAAGAAATTGCTTATGGAAGTCGAATGCTTGAAAAACTCTTCGCATAAATCGTCGGAAAGTCAAGGTGACGATTTTATTATAAATGAGATTAATGAGCGTAACACTCAATCACATAATCTCATCTTTTATAATATTTCCGAGTGCGACACAAACCGGTCTGATAATCGTATCGATTATGATATTACTCAAGTAAATAATGTTATCAAATCTATTTCTATTAACTTTGACATTATACCGATTAAAACTATTCGCATCGGCCGCACTCAAACAGATAAACCACGTCCAATTAAAGTAACTTTTTCAACTACTGCAGATGTCTATAATATTTTAAAAAATAAACGGAAATTATCCCAACTTGCTCCTCCTTCTTCTGTCAATATTAGTTCTGATCGTACACAATACCAGAGAGAACACATGAAGAAACTCCGTGATGAATTGGCCGCTCGTATCTCAAATGGTGAAGCTGGATTAACTATTAAGTTTTTTAAAGGTACTCCTAAAATTGTACCAATATCTAATATAAAACAAACTAATTCTCAACATTTTTTAAACTAAATGTAATTTACCAAAATGTCCGTGGTCTAAGAACCAAACTCTCTTTTTTTCGAAATTCTGTATTAAATATTAATTGCGATTTATTATTTTTATCAGAAACATGGTTATCTTGCAATATAAGTGACTATGAATTAGGTCTTACTAAATTTACTATTTTTAGAGCTGATAGAATTGTTAATCCTATTCTTAGTCGCGGTGGTGGTGTGTTATTGGCCGTCAAAAGTAACTTGAATTGTATACATATCCCGGTAAAAAGTATTCCCGGTATCGAACAAGTCTTTGTGTCTTTAAAATTGAATGATATTAGATTACTTATAGGATGTGTTTACATACCTCCTAATACCCATTCGGACTTATATTATCAGCACTGTGAGGTTGTTGAAAATATTATAGATAATTATTCTTTTGATAACATCCTTATAATCGGTGACTTCAACCTGCCTGGCTTTTCCCTGGGTGTTAATAATTTAATTAATAATCCTTCAACAAATATCATAGTTAATTCTTATATAAACTATTTAGGTTTAAGTCAATTTATTAATATTCCTAATTACCGTAATGATAATATCCTTGATTTAATTTTTTCCGATACCCACTTACATACAATATTTCCCGGCTGTTCACTCACTCCACTAGTTGACTCTTATCATCCACCTTTAGAATTTCTTTATCCACTTAACTCACCTAATTTGTTAAATGACCAACCCAAATCCGTTATTTATAATTTTAATGCATGCAATTTTAATGATATTATTCGATTCTTGGCAAATATCGATATTATCTCAAATCTTATGAATTTGCATGTAGATGCAGCGATCTCTAAATTTTATGAAATCTTAAACCTTTGTTTTAATTTATTCGTTCCTAAACTAAACATTAATAATAATAAACCACATAATATAATTTGGTCTAACTCAGAGTTTAGAGAACTAACTAGACTAAAAAATGATGCTCATAAAAAATATAAAATAACGAACAATTATTTAGATTATTTAAAGTTTTCGCAGCTGCGGAAAAAATGTAAACTTTTATCTATTCATATTCATGCGAATTATATCTCAAAAATTGAAAATAATATAAACCAAAATCCTAAATTTTTTTGGAAGTATATAAAAACACTTAAATCGAATAAATCTAGTATCCCATCCTCTGTTACGTTAGATGGTGTAATTGCTGATAATATTGAGAATACCTCCAAGTTATTTGCAAGTTATTTTTCTTCAGTGTATTCTAATAATAATACTATTACTGCGAAACATGAGCTACCGTATACAAATTATTATCAAGATCTTAATTTAAATTCGTGTGTTATATCCGAATCAGATATATTAGATACATTTAGCTCATTAAGTGAGGCTATAGGGGCGGGACCAGATGGCTTACCACCTATATTTCTAAAATCTTGTCTCCCAGTACTTATGAAACCTCTTCATTATTTATTCAATCTATCTCTCTCTACCGGCGTATTTCCCTATTTTTGGAAAAAATCATACATTACACCTACCTTCAAATCCGGCGATAAAAGTAACGTCACAAACTATAGACCTATATCTAAATTATCTATTATTCCAAAAACTTTTGAAGCAATAATCACTAAGAAGTTATCAAATTTAATCTCTAAAAACATATCTGTCCATCAGCACGGCTTTCTTTTTAAACACTCTATACAAACAAATTTATTATTATTCCAAAATTTCCTTACTAAATCTTTAGAAAAAGGATATCAAGTAGACACCATTTATACGGATTTTCAAAAAGCCTTCGACAAAGTTAATCATACATTATTATACCATAAATTAAAAGCTTTCGGATTTGGAGGCAATTTCCTTAATTGGCTCTACTCTTATCTCACTAATCGTACACAATCAGTAAAAATTTCGTTTTACTATTCAGATGAGTATGCGGTGACCTCAGGTGTTCCTCAGGGCTCTTATCTAGGACCATTACTTTTCTTAATTTTTATAAATGATCTCCCATCGGTCCTTGATACTAACATTAATATTTTGTTGTTCGCAGATGATGCAAAATTATATTTCGATATTAAATCAATTAATGATGCAAATAGTTTACAACTCAATCTTAATAACTTTTTTCAATGGAGTGAACGAAATCTTCTTCCACTAAATATTAATAAATGCCAAGTAATAACTTTCACACGTAATAAAAATCCAATTATATTTCAATATCAAATAAATAACCACTCTTTGGATAGAGTTAATTCTATCAAAGATTTAGGTATCTACTTTGAGAATGATCTATCGTTTAAACTAAATCATAGTAAAATTATAAATAAATCTCTCAAAATGCTTGGTTTTATAAATAGAAATACTAAAGAGTTCAAAAACCCTATTTGTTTAAAAACCCTATATATGTCATTGGTTAGATCTAACCTCGAATTTGGTTCACTTATTTGGTCTAATAATTACTTAAAATATATAAATGAACTTGATAATGTCCAATATAAATTTTTAAAAAGAATTTCTTATATTACTCATATACACATTACAAGAGACACCGTTAGTATTATTGAAAACTTTTTGAGTCTAGACTCACTTAATATAAGGCGTCAAATAACAGACATTATGTTACTTTATGATATTTTAAACAACCTCATTGACTGTCCAGACCTACTGTTCGAAATAGGGTTTCGCGTCCCTTGCATTAACACAAGGAACTTGGATCTTTTCATAGTTCCGAAATATAATACCAATAGTGGAAATAGTACGTTCTTCTCAAGAGCTTTTGTTCTGGCCAATAAGTTATCATCCAAATTAGATTTTTTTGTACTCTCTCGCAACATATTTAGATTTAAGGCTTTAGAATTATTAAGATTATTATAGTATTAGATTTTGTGATTGTGATGAGATTAATTAATAAGTTTTTACACCACCTTGTTCTTTTACACACATGTTAATACAACAGTTATTAAATCTTGTAAAAAGGGCATTGCCCGTTAAATCATAAAATAAAAATAAAAATATTATGCATTATAATTCATTATTATTATTATTATTATTATTATTATTATATTTGTGATAAATAAAAAGTTAACAAAATCAAAAAGATACAACAGACTTTAAGTTTTGTTACATCATTTATCCAATCATACTTGGAAATATCTAAATTAAGAAAATACTCGTCTATACTTTCTTCTAAGGCAGTCAAATGCTCCATTATAAATGTCATAACTTCGTAACTTTCTTCTGTTACAGATAATGAAGGAAACATATCAAATTGATTTTTTTGCACACGTTTTTTCCAGATTTTTAATTTATCTTTAAGAGTAAATAACTTACTACATGATGCCAATATATTTTCATTTGGTCCTTGCATACTTGAATTTATTTGATTTAAGTGTGAAAATATGTCTGCCAAGTATGATAGTTTTTCCAACCATTTTTCGTTCGTTAATAATTCACAAAATTCGGGTACATTTTCAAGAGTAAAAAACACGATAAGTTCATTTTTTAACTCATGTACTCTGGACAAAACTTTACCACGAGATAGCCATCGTACTTCTGTATGTAAAATAAGTTTAGTAAATTGTGATTCCATTGCTTCACATAATAAAGAAAAATGTCGTGTTTTTAATGGTCTCATTTTAATAAAATTTACCATTTTTACCACATCATCAAGAACATTTTTTAACTGAGGACCGATAGTTTTTGCTACTAAGGCTTCACTATGAAGGAAACAGTGAGTTGCAAGTATATTTTTATCACACTTTTTTGCCAATGTAACAAAACCTTTTATAGAACCAATCATACTAGGAGCGCCATCAGTGCAAATACCATAACAATAAACCCAAGATAAATTTAATATTTTAAGATAAGAATCAATAATATTAAACGCATCAAGACCAGTTGTCGTTTCTTTCATTTCTTTGCAACAAAAAAATTGTTCTATAATATTATCATTATTAATAAAACCCAATTAAATAACATTTACCACTTGTGTCGGTGGATTCGTCAATTTGAAGACAAAAACCATTTGAAGCTTTAATTTTTTCCACCACATTTTTTTTCTATGTCTTCTGACATATCTTGGACGCGTCTACGAATAGTATTATTCGAAAGAGGTATTTTTTTTATTTCGGCTTCAGCCTCATTACCAAACATAATACGCACTATTTCTGAACAGGCTGGAAGAATTAAAGATTCACCTATTGTATGTGGTTTTTTATTTTCAACTATTAATTCTGCCACTTTATAACTAGCTTCAAGTGCTTTATTAGGAATAGTAACCTTTTTCTCAAAAATTACTGATTCTTTATTTTGTGAACTTAATAGTTGTTTGAAGTAGTCAATATTTTTATTAGCTAAATGATCATGTTTTTTTAATAAATGACGCTTCAATTTACTTGGAACCATAGTTGCATTAGATAATTTTACTCCACATACAATGCATTCTGGTTAAGGACAATTTTCATTTCCATACCAAGTAAATCCCATAGCTAAGTAACTAATATTATATAAACGTATTTTATTTAAACCAGTAAAACTAGAACTAGCCTGATTTGATTCACCAGATGTTGATTCAATATTATGGTTAATTGAAATTTCGTCTTCATTTAATTTTCGTTTTTTAACAATAAATTTATCCATTATTTTAAATAAAATTTAATTATATAAAATTATAAAATATCTAGACACGAATGAAATATATATGTTTCGCAATGATGACTAAAACCAGACTGATTGTACTGAATTGTTAGTATACAGTATACCTATATTATTAAATTACTATGGTCGATACATGTTTTACAAAAATTAAGATAAGATAAAAGCACAAGACATCGAAGCGATAGCAATGAAACTGGTATATGAACATTAAAATAGATTAAACATCGTAATATTTCTACAAAATATATGAAACACGATAGGTTTTATATTATTATAGTCCGTTTTATTACTCACAGTGCTATATTTTTAATGAAATTGTTTTTTCTCAAAAAATATTTCAAATAATTTCGCGGCACCCTGGTTGGGAATCTCTGCATTAATAGTTAGCTGCGTCATTGTTATTCTATTATTGTATCATTGCATTAGATTATCAAACATTTTAATAATCCAGGGTAATATCCAATTTTATATAAAATAATTTAATTTTTAAGTACACTTTTACAAGTACATGCAATTAATTTAACATTTTTGTTGACAGTTTATAACTCAACAGTCCAGACGTCTATGAGCCCAAAAATTTGTAAAATTACATTTAATTTTTTTCCTAGTAAATTTGAAATTTTTTCTAGTTAACCCTACACTGCACATTTTTTTTCCTTCAAAAAAAATAATGTGAGTTTTGTGTATACTTCACTAAATTAGGAAAAATAAAAAAAAAATTTTTTAAGTTTTGGTTTTGCTGAAATTTCGAAATTTTAAATTGTTCCATATATGGAACATTGTGCATACAAAGATGAGTATTTTATTCATAAAAATTTTTTTAACTACAGATATAATTTTTACTAAGTACATTATTTGATTTGCAATATTGATATTTTTTATTTATTAAAAAATAATAAAAAACTTATAACACTATATTATAAAAGTAGCAGGTAAATTATATAAAAATATTTATCATTGTGGACAATGATAATCATAAAAACAGTCATTTGTTTTATTTAAACATAAGTATACTGTGCACTTTCGACACATAATTGATGTTTTTTTGCCACAACCATTATTCTTGCAACGTTCTCTCTTGTCGTTTATTTTTGGGAGATGTGCAATCATGTCCAACCGTACGTCTCTTGGTGGCTTAAATGTTTGATATCCTAGAAAAAATAATAATACTTGTTTATTTATATTTAATAATCTAAACAAATTCGACTTATTACCTCGTTTTTTTTTTCGCTTTGTTCCGGTTCTTTTCGTTTCCTCCCTCTGGTTGGTGTTAGTTGTTCTCCAATTTTGCGCAATGATACGGCTATTTCTTGACGAAAATCTTTTAGTGGCATATACTTTTCATCACTGTTAACTTTTTTGTATAAAATCCACGCGTTAACCATCGCAACATCAAAGAAATGATAAAACATTTTAAAATACCATTTTTTAGATCTCATTCCGACTCTATATCGGGCGATATGGGCATCCAATAAATCTACACCACCCATATGTTTATTTTAAACACCAACGATGTTTGGACATGGAACTGTATTGCGAATTTTGTTTTTTTTATCAAAGCGTTTGACTTCAGTTTCCGGTAATTTTCCAGATAAAGTTGAAAGTAGTGTAACGCATTTATTATCTTTCCAAATTACCGCTTTAACAGCCTCTCCGTCGACTTCCACCATTCAGAACAAGCATTCAGAAGAAAACCCTCTAGGTTTCGTTTTTAAATATTTTTCATCCGGTAAAATGAGGCCAGGAACTCTATTTCTTCGTAATGTGCCCAAACTGTATATACCATTTTTTTTTAAGTAAACCTCAAGAGCTAGAGTGGTGTAGAAGTTGTCAAAATAGAGTTTATAGTTTTGATTTTTAGGAATAATAGGAGCTAACCTGACTACAATATTCGCTGACGCTCCTAAATTAGGTTCATTTTGTAGTCTTTGATCAGGGTTATTCTCCAGGCCTCAATAAACTTCAAAATTATATACACCACTCAGAACAAAAATCTTATATCCCCATTTGTGCGGTTTTAGGGGCAAATATTGTTTTAAATAACTACGGGCCTTGGTAGGACAAATCTGCTCATCTATTGACAAATTTTCTTCAATAGGAATTGAATTGCATTTTTTTTTTAATATGATCTAACACGGGCCTTATTCGATGAAGACGATCGTAATTTTCATGTGACAAGGGCAACGCGGTTTCATTATTATTAAAATGCAAGTATCTACGAATAAGTTCAAATCGCTTTAAACTCATAGTTTCCTGAACCATTGTATTTCCAAGCACACAATTCCAATAGCTTCTTGTATTAGGTAAATGTACAAGTGACATCAAAGCAACAATACCTAAATATTTTTTTAGTTCATTTTTGGTAAACCGAAATGTACTGTTTATATTTTACTGTACACTGTACAATAGACTCTGCTCAACAATTGAGTCTAATACCTCATTTACATTCAGCCCATTTTCGTGGTAGTGAGCAGGGAAGTGGGCATGGAAGTGGGCAGCACGAGTATGTGAACATGTAACTCGTGCTGATCATGCTCCTCGCATTGTCACTGCCCGTCGCTCCCGTTAGGAGCGGTAAATTGAGCAGTGCGAGCAGCTGGTTAACCGACAGCGCGAGTGCGATTGCCTGTTTACATTCTGCTCGATCGATTACCGCCTTTGTATTATCAGCATTATGCTTATCAATAACTAAAAAATAATAATAAAAAAACGTGCGTAACTATAAAACGACTTTCACGTACTTTCTACTTTCGTGCGTGTGTACATTGACTAACGACATTAAGATGGAGGATGCTGAAATAATTGCAGCCTCGGCACTCTGCCTGCTAAGTTTAAATAACTATGTGAGCATATTACAAAATTTAAGAAATAACAATGAAAATAGACGCCGTCGTCGTCAGCAGATATGGTGGATGATAGCAATTCATCGTAATAGAACACTGTGAGTACTTGTTGTATTATTGCGAATTTTGTAACCTGTGAAAATATAAAAGAAATTGAGAAGAAGACCTATATAGCTAAGCAACTCACCCATGTACTCAACAACAATTTTAATCTATTTATTATTTAATATGATCAATTTTTATAATTTTTTTAATTTAGCACCATCCATTACGTGTCCCCACTTCCCCCATTATTTTTACTTTTTTTTTGTTTTTACAGAAATAGTATGGATAGTTTTTTCAATGAGATGACTAGTGAGGAATCTGGTGAGTTCACCAATTTTTGCAGAATGTCACTTGCAGACTTCGAATTTCTTCTGGCCAAAATTGAACCAATGATCAAAAAACAAACCAGACTGAGAATACCTATACCACCGAAAATACGATTGGCAATTACCTTACGGTATTTAGCAACAGGGGATAGCTATAGAAGTCTTCACTATTTATTCAAAGTTTCGACACCAGCCATTTCATTAATCGTACCAGAAGTGTGCAAAGCTATTAATATTGTTCTCAATGACCAAATTAAGGTAAAAATTATTAATACATTAAATTTTTATTTAATTACTTATTAATAATAATAGTACAAAACATGTAGCATTTAAAATTACAAAACAATATTAATACCAAATCTTAATATTATTAAAATTTATAATATAATATAATATTTTTAGCTTTATAGGTATAACCCTTTACCCATTTATAATGTTAATAACAAAACAAAAAACAAACTTTTTTAAACTTTTAACATTCAAAACATTTTAAAAAAAAACATTTTTAATTATTTTTTCCGTATTAAATTTAGTAATATTTTGTAACAGCGTTCAAGTATGCATTTTCAATGTAGGTTGCATGACTCCTTGCGATACGTTCCTTGACAGCGGCATACTTAACTCTACAGATGTATGTTGTGATTCATTCCCTTCTAGCATGTTAACATGTGACATATCACTGGCTGGAGATGGAGTAGAATTTTGGTAGTGTGGAGATGGTGTTGACGAATAATATGAGTAGGCGCTTGATGGTTGTTCGTCAGGATAGGGATTATCCAAAAGAAAGCCGTCTATTTTATACATGAATTGGTCTCGCATTCTTCCCGGATATTTTCTTAACTTTTTTGCTAAAAGTTTTGCGTATACATCGCACTCGTCTTTATCTTCCTTCTTTTTTTTTAATACATAGTTCAAAGTATCAAAACTTTCATTAATTTTTTTTTTGAGCATCATCTAAATAGTGGTCCGTATTAATATGTCTTTTCTTCGAAGCATTGGTTCTGCAGGTTGGTGTATTAGTTTTCTTTGTATTTTCTTGTGGTGGCGATGGGGCAGTAATTTCATCACTGGACTGAATCGACGATGTTGATGGAGGTGGCATCAATATTTCACTTTCTAAGGTCTAAAAAATTATTATTGATATTATTTATTATAATAATTTTTAATAATTTTCAAAAAGTTGGTTTAGTAGAAGTCCTATTTTATTTATATATTTATTAATATAATTATATTATCATTTTCATTTGATGATCAAATTTTCAATACAATACAGTATAATATATAATAATCACGAAATAGGTATACATAGTGATATAGGCTGATTCAATATTTTTTATTTCAGTTACCACAAACACCACAGGAATGGTTAATCATTGAAGAGGGTTTTAGAAGAAAGTATCCGCATTGTGTTGGAGCTATAGACGGAAAACACATCGTAGTGCAATGTCCAGCCCACAGTGGTTCCGAATTTTATAATTATAAGGGTACATATAGTATCGTACTAATGGCTTTGGTTGATAGCGATTATCGTTTTATTTTTGCCGATATCGGTGGCCAGGGACGCATTAGTG